CATTTCTCCTATGAACCTATTGATATTTTCTCGATATTTTCAGTGGATGCTTCAAATTCCTGGTGCTACTAGTTATATTGGTTCCATTGGAAAAGACAAATTTGGAGAGGAAATGAAGAAAAACTCAAGGCTTGCTGGTGTCAATGTAAGTCTGGGCATGTTTCCCACAACCTCCTAATGGGTTCAAATTATCAACTACAAAAGTCTTGATTAATTTTAAATCAAATGTATTTAGGCTCAATATTACGAGGATGAAACTACTCCCACCGGTACATGTGCTGTCTGTATCGGAGGTGGTGAGAGGTAGGCAATATCTGTTTTTACATCTTGCTTAATGTTCAATTTCCATAAAGTGATTGTATCTAATTTTCAAAAATCAATCTTTGTGTTCATACTATGCACACACATTTTTTTTTTCATTTTTATAAAAATGTTTATATGTGACTAGACTCTTGGAAACAATGTAGTAAAAGTTTTTTTCTACTTTTTTGAAGTTCATTTAAATTTCTTTGGTTGAAAACTAGGTGATAAACTCCTCTTTATGCTTCATTGTTAATATGGCTACTTAATATCTTATCTTCCTTCACCTCCAACCAGATAACATTTATTTTATACTTGCATACATCAAAAACTATCAATGTATATGTATATATAAAGTTGGGAGGAGATGAGGTAAGTCCCTTGGTTTCGCAATCAACATCCATATATATATGTATATATAGAGTTGGGAGGAGACGAGGTTAGTCACTTGTTTTCAATCAACATCCATCTATAGGTAGGGGAAAGGAGTGACCTCAATGTGTGTGTGTTGTGGAAAGAGTCCATATTTCATATCAAGTCAAGTGTTAACTTAAATTGACAATTTGCAGGTCACTTGTTGCTAACTTGTCAGCTGCGAACTGTTACAAAACTGAGCACTTGAAGCGACCTGAAATCTGGGCACTAGGTACTCATTTCTCCTCTACTTTTGTACTTTTTTTATTTACTGTGTATTTAGTGGCCATATGCTATAAAATTTCTGACCTCAATGCAAACTTACTTTTGAACAGTGAAGCAGGCAAAATATTACTATATTGCTGGATTTTTCTTGACGGTGTCCCCTGAGTCCATTCAACTTGTTGCTGCTCATGCCGCTGCAAACAACAAGGTGACATTTCCACACTGATGTGATACACATTTTATTCTTTTGAATTCTAGTTTCAGCACTTTAGAAAAATTTGCATGCTTCTGCAGGTCTTCTGCATGAATCTTTCTGCTCCCTTCATTTGTGAATTCTTCAGAGAGGTGCAGGAGAAAGCTCTGCCGTAAGTTTTGTGCACTTTTCTTTTTCATCTTTTATGCAATGGATGCAGAACTTCTTTCATTATAATGGTTTTGGTTAATAGCTCTTCCTTGGTCACGATACTTGTTATGGACAATTGGGTTGATTTTTAATACAGGTACGTGGATTATGTTTTTGGGAATGAGACAGAAGCAAGAACCTTCTCAAAAGTTCATGGATGGGAGGTAATTTTCATTACGTTCTTTTGGGCTCGCAAATCCAAAAACTGAACTGAAGCTCTCCCACAGATTACTAAATTTGTCTTTTCTGATTAGACTGACAATGTCGAGGAGATTGCCATAAAGATTTCCCAGTGGCCAAAGGCATCGGGAACACGAAAGAGGATCACCGTCATCACTCAAGGTGCCGATCCTGTGGTGGTTGCTGAAGATGGGAAGACAAAACTATTCCCTGTTATTGTGTTGCCCAAGGAGAAGTTGGTTGACACCAATGGGGCAGGTATATGGTCTCTCTATCCAACTATAATTGGCAAATGCATGGAAAGACTGAGTCAACATATACTCTTCTTAGGGAACTTGCGTGAACTATTTTATTGAAATACTTTTGCACCCCCCATTTATCATATCTTATGAAGGTTGTAAAACCATGGAGTAAAACCGTGGACAATGAACAATAGACTTTACTTATACTGTGAGGGCACAAGCTGGCTTATTTTTGTGAGATCCCACATTGATAGGGGAGGAGAACGGGACATTCTTTATAAGGGTGTGGAAATCTTTCCCTAGCAGACGCGTTTTAAAAATCTTGAGGGAAAGCCCAAAGAGGACAATATTTGCTAGCGGTGGGGTTGGGTTGTTATAGTTGGTATCAAAGCCAGACATCGGGTGACGATGTGCTAGTGAGGAGGCTGAGCCTTAAAGGAGGGTGGATACAAGACGGTGTGCCAGCAAGGTCGTTGGGTCCCGAATGGGGGTGGATTGTGAGATCCCACATCGATTGAGGAGGAAAACGAAACATTCTTTATAAGAGTGTGGAAACCTCTTTCTAGCATATACATTTTAAAATCCTTGAGAGGAAGCCCAAAGAAGACAATATTTGCCAGCGTGAGTTTGGGTCGTTACATTTTCCCCCGTAGTTAATTGGTTTATAGTTCGTTTAATGGTTCCTTGCTACAATTTCATATCGTGCATTAGATCTCAATGGATATTTGGATGTCACAAACCAGATGAACTTTTCATTGACGCAGCTTGCTAGATCATCTTTAGTTTAAAAAATGCAACAAGGACAATGGAACTTTCACTATTGTTTCATTACGCAACAATATAACTCATCACTCATCTTCTCTTTCTCTTTGTGATTGTCGTTCTTGCAACAGGAGATGCATTTGTTGGGGGATTCTTATCTCAACTGGTTCAAGAAAAGCCCATTGAAGACTGTGTGAAGGCCGGTTGCTACGCATCAAATGTGATAATCCAAAGGTCAGGCTGCACATACCCAGAAAAACCCGATTACAATTAGACAGCTTTGGCGCAGAGCAGGATATCACATCCTTCCCTTCCGTGATAAAACTAGCAGCAATTTTCATCCATCCACCCATCCAATCTGGTACTATCTTATGAAAAGCCTTCATATTTACTCCTAAATTCATCCGTCTAGCACGGTATCAATTCTCTTTTGAACGTTGAATTTCGAGTTTTTCTTCTCATCCTCATGGATGAAAATTTTCGTTTGAGCAACTCTGAACCCGAACTATTCTCTAGTTTAATCTAGAAACATGCGAATCTTTAGTACTGAAGTTATAATCTCAGTTATTAATGCTATCTCCAGGGATGCTCTGTTGTCATATTACATAAAATTGGAACTTGGATGCATTTTTAAACTGATCAGATGTAGAATTTTAGCTCTCTAATTCATGGTATGTTTGTTATTTATAAGAGTAGATAGATAAAAAGTACCTTCAAGTTTAAGCTTTGTTTTGTAGGCTACCTATGGGCTCTGAGAGAAAAAGCTGAGGTACACAGATATAATTTTGTAATATTTTAATAAAATAATTTCAATCAATGATTATTTATAAATATTGACATGGGAAAAAGCCTATCTAAATATTTGATAGATAGTAAAAAATAAGAAGTCGTGAACATTTATCACTAACACGATTTTGCAATACAATTTAAAGGTTGTCCGATAGATCCTTAGTTTTTCTTGATGCGTCAGATTTTTATTAATAAGAAGCGAACGTGTTTGGATTATAATTTTATTAACCTATTTAATTACAATGTCATGTCACAACCTAAAAGTCGAGTGGAAGTTAGATTTTACTACTATAAAGTTTTGTTTGCATATATTTTGCATATCATAGAAGGATCCATCGTTCATCATAAATGTGTTAGATTGCTGTCATTCATCTATACTTGTTAGAGCTATGATAGTTGCTTATGTCAATCGTCTTTGGTCTATGTGACTGTTATCTATTTCATCCATCAACGTTAATTCCTATACTAATGAGTCCTTTAAAAACGGTTGGTGATCTCTAGGCAAAATTTCATAATACTGCTAGAATATAAATCTAAAATACAGACAATTTTTTTCCATGTGAAAAATACAAAGTTGCGGGTAAAAAGAGCATTAGAAAATTCTTAATTTGAAAAATAAATTTCCCATTCCAATAAGTTCTCCACTTGCAAGTACATTTTTTTTTAAAAAAAAATAGTTGGAACTTTAAAGTTTAATCCCGAAACAATTAGTAAAATACTTAGTGTCACCATAAATTTCAAGTAGCTGTGACATTAGACAGTGTATTTTAGCCATCAGTCTTATATATTGCTATCGTGCGCACAATAAAACCATGGCGTTTCTGTCCGTGAGCTGTCTTCGCGCGTTCTTTCTCATTGCTTGGGGTTCTCTTTAGAAGGTCATGTTTCAGTTACAGGTGCCGTTGCTTGTTTATGACGTTCGATTTGCAAGATATTTTCCTTTTCTACTCAAATTTCATGGTCCTCTGTGTATAACGCGCGGTAATTTCATCACAGATACAATACAAATCGTTTTCTGTACTTCTCAAATTTAGGGTTTCAATCCGCTTGCCATGTTGTCGGTGTCCATAATCGATTTACGAGCAGCGACTTTTGTTTTCTTTCTCAATTTATGGCGGCACTGACCGGTGTCGGAACTGTGATTTCTGTTGGGATAGTGGCGACATTTCCACCAGGAATGATCTGAATACAAGTCCAGAGTGGCTTCCTCGGACGATGTCTCACCCAACTCGAGAGGAAAGAGTTCAGATTCTGGTATTAACATGGAAGGGACGGCAGGTTGGAGGCGTTCAAATAGCTCTTGGAACTTGCAAGTAATTGCGCGATCTCCTGGATCACTTACGCGTTATATGCCAGATGACATTCCGATCGTTACTTCTCCGATGGTTTACATTGGCATGTTGAAGATCATGAGCTGCATAGCATGAATTTTCTTTCCATTTCAGGAGATCGTGCATTTGCTTTTGAGGAAGTTGTAAGAACTCAGGCTTCTGGTGGTTGTGTCGACCACCCAGGTATGGATTCATTTTGGTTAAGCAATCGCGTCTTTACGTTTTTAGGCGGTGTCTGGTTAGGATAGCATTTCTAAGTACATTCTTTTTAAACTAGAAATTGTATTGTAGGGCCATACGAAAATAGAGGCTATCTGAAGTAAGTAGCCATTAAAGGGACCCCCCTATGATGAAAATTGAAGCTTGATGGAGGAATTAATGCAGTTAGATACAGAGAAAGCTGGGTTTGGCTTCACCTGCTTTAACTTTCACCATAAGAGTACCATGAATCAGGCTGAGGAGGCAACATTGCTAAGTAAGAGAGCAAGGATCTTATATCAAATATATGCAATTTCTGAACTGTATCTTCGTGTGATAGGGAAGTCCATAATGAAAGGTGCCTGAAAATGGGGTATTGTTGCTCTAGGTTGCTTACTACTTGAAGAAAATGGCAGAGGGGACTGAGTCTTGCGGTCAAGGCATCACTTTCTTCGAACGATCAACAAACAAACATATGAAAGTATTCGGAAAATCACACCTGTGACCATTAGGAGGAGTAGGCATTGGCCCCAGTCATGAATGTCAAATCCACTCCCATTCAAAACTCCACAGCGAGTTATCAGCCACACTCCGTCGTACCTGTAGAACAGAGCCAATTAGCTTAGAAAGTTTATAACAATTTAGCTAACAAACTCAATAATTCTCCCTTGGGAGAGAGGCAAAGTTTTGCGGTAGGCTAGCTTTGTAACAGCGCAAGCCTACCGCTAGCAGATATTGTCTTCTTTGGGCTTTCCCTTCTAGGCTTCCCTCAAGGTTTTAAAACGTGTCTACCAGGGAGAGGTTTCCACAACCTTATAAGGAATGTTTCGTTCTCCATTGTGAGATCCCACATTGGTTGGAAAGGGGAACGAATCATTCCTTATAATGGTGTGGAAACCTCTCCCTAATAGATGCGTTATAAAATTGTGAGGCTGACGGCAATACATAACAACCAAATCCTTCCACTAGCAGACATATATTATCCCTTTGGGCTTTCCCTTATGTGCTTCCCTTCAAGGTTTTAAAACGCATCTACCAGGGAGAGGTTTCCACACCCTTATAATAAATGTTTCATTCTCCCTTGTGAGATCCCACGTTGGTTGGAAAGGGGAACGAAACATTCCTTATAATGGTGTGGAAACCTCTCCCTAGTAGATGCATTCTAAAACTGTGAGACAGACGGCGATATGTAATAGCCAAAGTGGACAATATCTACTAGCGGTGGGCTTGGGCTGTTACAGGCTTCATGTGGGGATTTGAATTATCAAACTCAAGAGTGGACATGATTATGAACGAGGGAAACTTCAAGACATACCTTTCCGCATTTGCAGTCACTAATGCTTCCAAAGCCCATTTGGGGTAACAAAGATTAGACAGAGTCTTCATTGCTGAACTAGTTTGAGGCCTTGTTATAAAGAGGGTTAAGACAACAGGAAAAATGGCTGACCACTGCATAGAACAGTAGATTTAGTCAGTGAGGCAAATCACCAAGCTTGCTAAGAACTTGTTTATGCACTACTTTCACTCACCAGTTGAGCTGCACCAGGCTGAAGGAGGATAGCCAAAGAATAAGCCATGCCCGTGACACAGTACAGAAGGCAGAGTAAAACAACATAATGATCTGTAAAGGAAGATCTCGGGTTTGCGAAGGAATAGAACATAGATAGATACACCAGCGGCTTTATCACTGTATTAAAATGGTCAACCGTGTCCTTTGCGAGAAAATAAGCCAAACTGCTCATGCCCGAAGAACTCTCTCTCCAATACTCCAACTTATCCAAAGAAAATGTTCTCAAAGCCGCAATTTTTCCTAGAAGAGCTGATACAATCATGGCCATGGTCAGTTATTATGTATTTAGGCCCTGATAAAAAAGAACATATTGCGTGAAAACAATGGGCAAAGGTCTCGTTAAGCATATATGTTCGCAAAGAATTGGTAACTTACAAACTGCAATAATGGTGAAAGGATAACCATAAACACCAAATGACTGGTCGCTCAAATCAGAAATCGGTCCAAGGCAGGCACCAGCAAGAAGTAAGGTCAAATAATCTATAACTTGTATTCTCGAGTCCCGTAATCTCTGCTTACCGATTCTGAAATTCATGGTTATGAAGAGACATATATAGCTATTAATGCTTTACACACATGTCGTAAGATCATTGTTATTGAAGGTTTCTATTAATACGATGTACCTCCCAAGAAAGAATTTGTACTGCTTAAGTATGCCTGGAGTTCTTCTATGGGACAAATCTTTGGTCTTCAAAAGCATTCTTAACTTGTCATGATGTTCCTCAACTTTACTTCTCATGCCCTGCCATAACTCCCCAGCTAAAGAAGGTTGTGGCTCGACAAGAACATGGTTGCTCGTTCCATTAGTTCGCTCCACATCTGCCATGCTTGTAGTGTGTCTGGCTGAGATCTGCTGCAAATCTGCTGGTACTGGGTAACCATTATGAAGCAACCATCTAACAGGAAGCTCTTCATAGCTAATATCTGCATTTGGTGTCATAATACCCTCCAAAATATCAATGAAGTGATCTGGAGGGTTAACACGTTCCGGGACATGGATTCCAAGGCCAGCAAAGTATTCTTCAACTCTCCTTGCTGGTCCATGATAAACAGTAAAACCACCTTTTGCAAGAAGAACCAAATCGTCGAACATTTTGTATAAGGTGTAGCTGAAGCGGAGATTCGCAAATTAGTAAACAAGGGACATAATCAATCAGGGATGCTGGCTATAAAGACAGTGGAAGAACAGGTTTGGAAAAGTTACCTTGGTTGATGAACCACCATGGAGATGGTCACACCTTCAAGAGCTTCTCTCCTGAGTGCTCTAAGAAGCAGTTGGGAAGAAGAACTGTCCAAACCAGATGTTGGCTCATCTAACAGCAAAATCGAAGGCTCTATCACCATTTCTAACCCGACATTCACCCTCTTCCTTTGTCCTCCAGAGATTCCTCGCTTTTCCACTGTCCCGACCAAGGAGTTTCTCACAGTCTGGAGCCCCAAGAACTCGATAACTCTTTCAACAATTAGAACCTTATCTGCTTTGGATAACTCCACAGAAAGCCTATGACAATAGGCAGTCCATTATCAAAAAGCTTACAGACAGTAATGATAAACTACTTAGAAAAGAACAAAGGAAATTAGTGATGAAATCCAGAAAGCCATAATTCATCTTAAAGTCAATTCTATGGAGATGCCTTCGCACCGCTGTAGTTTCGACTCCTGCTAATAGTTTAGCACACTCTTTGTTGTTACTATGGGGTCCTGAAGCACAAGGAGATTTTACTCGTTGGTGTCAATCAGGTGGTTTGTGGGATTTTGTTGCTCTCCACGGTTCTTTCAGACTAATAGGTTTCATGTTACGTCAATAAGATAAAGCAAAGAGGAAAGGTTCAAATACCTGCAGTTTGCACTGAACCATAGATTCTCTTCCACTGTCAAGTTCCCATGGACAATATCATCTTGAGGTACAAAACCCATAATTCTTTTATATGACAGAATTGATTCATTCTTTCCATTTATTAGAATAGAACCTGTAGTCTTGCATCCAATTGCTTTTCCTGCCAAAGCAGAAAGAAACGTTGTTTTTCCAGCCCCAGATGGACCCATGACAGCAGTGATCCGGCCGGGCTTGATGTTTCCAGTGACACATCTCAAAAGGTGCTTGTTTTTTGTTTTCAAAGTAAGGTTTAGGTCTTTAAATGAAACTTCAATAGGAGGGCGCCTTTTATTCTCTGGATTAGTTGCCATTTTAATTACACTTGAGAAAGTAAGATTTTGATTCTCTTGCTGCTGAACCTTTTCTTTCTCGAGTTGCATGTAAGCATGCTGAAACATCTGGCTGTGAGTACTTGAATGCTTTCCCTTTGGCACATGTTTTTTAATACCCTTTTCATTTCTAGTTTCATTATGAAGGCCTTCATGATCATCATGGTCTTCTTCAATTTCATGTATCATTCCCATGTGACCAGTCTGGCTATCTGTTCTTCCTTCAATGGGCACAGACGAAGCGGATGATGTGGTTGGGATACGTGAGTATGACGTTGATAAATCATTGTCCATATCAGATTTGGATTGATCCAAAATCTTAAATTGTTCTGTATCCGAGCTTTTCACATGTGAAAACTTTCGTGATAGTTGAACTTGCAAACCACTTGCATGCTTCATTGCAGCTTTTTTCGCAGCTTTCCACCTTTGTTGTGCTTTTGCTGTTGTCTTTGCACTGTTTGCTGCTGCCTCCCTGGATTTAGCCAGTCTCCTTTCTCTAGCACTAAGAACTTGGTCGGAGAAATTGTAAATTATGAGTAGCACAGTGCTCAAACCCACCTGCATAAGCAAAGAAAAGTTTCGATTCTTATTCAAGTCTTGAATGAGCAGTCATTTCTCGTAGAGCGTAGAACAAGAAAAGTCAGAAAGAAGAGAGTGATATTGGCAGGGGTAAATTGGGGAAGAAGAGGACTTGGAGGCCTAATCAGCGAGTGGGTTAGGAGTTGTGCCTTAATCTTCCGAAGTTTGGACTCTTATCCTTCTTGTTACCTTTACTCAGATTTTCACATTAGTAGATGACTTACTAAAAGTATTACTCCATAAGCATGGATATTCTGATTTGCAGTGTTAGCATCACATGAAGTAAGCTTGAAGCATCCTGCAATACGTCCGGTAGAATAGATCGATGAGAAAAAATAGAGGTTCGAACGTGCAAGGATATGGAATTCGGTATCGCACTTACTATTCTGAGAAGTTGAACCCTTTCTGCAGTAATATCTGCAATGGCAGCAAAATGGATCGATGAGATTAGAAAGCTCAGTAAACAATGGTTTATATAACATATCAGTGCTTAGAAACAAGTGAATACCCATTATCACAAGGAATTTTTTGGGTGGTTGATGGACAAAATGATCCATCTGAACAGAAAATCTCTCCACTTCGACCAACATCAGCCCACATGTTTGCTCCTCCACAGGTATGGTTGGGCCGCCCAGGTGGTAGCTGGTAAAGATATCTGCAAGAACAAGAAAATGGATAACTTCATTATGCTGAACAACATAGAGAAGTGGCAGACATGGTATGGTTTGTACTTACGGTTCACATACTCCAGTTGTTTCATTCAACTTGGCAAGGGGACAATAGGATCCTAAAGGGCATGCTGTCAGATACAAAACAGTGTTAGAAAGTGAGCACAATTCAGCTACTTATAAGGGTATAAAACAAGCTTGTAGAGGCTTAAATTTACGAGGGAAATGAAAATGAGCAATTTTCTTGTGAGATTTCACATCAGTTGGAGAGGGGGAACGAAATATTTCTTATAAGGGTGTGGAAACATCTTCCTAATGAACGTGTTTTAAAACCTTGAGAGGAAGCCCGGAATGAAAAAACCAAAGAGAACAATATCTACTATCAGTGAGCTTAAGCTATTACAAATGGTATCAGAGCCAGATACTGTGTCATGGGCTAACAGGACGTTGGGCCCTTAAAGGGGATGGATTGTGAGATCTCACGTCAGTTGGAGAGGGTAACAAAACATTCCTTATAAGGGTGTGAAGACTTCTCCCTAGTGGACGCGTTCTAAAACCTTGAGGGGAAACCCATAAGAGAGCTCAAAGAAGACAATATCTACTAGCGATGGGCTTGGACTGTTACAAATGGTATAAGAGCCAGACAGTGGGCGGTGTGATAACGAGGATGCTAGGCCCTCAAGGGGGCTGGATGTGAGATCCCACATCGGTTAGAGAGGGTAACTAACTATTCCTCATAAGGGTGTTGAGACCTCTCCCTAGTGGACGCATTTTAAAACCTTGTGGGAAAGCCCAGAAGGGAAAGTTCAAAGAGGACAATATCTGCTAGTAGTTGGCTTGGCGGTTACATTTCTAGATGAAGATCAAACAGGTATAGGTCTAAATACTTACGAATCATGCATGTAAGACCCTGAGGACAGAAGAAACCATCGCAACAAGCTTGGCAATCATGGATTCTTGAAGGAATTTGCTGGGAATTAGTAAGGTCGACGAGCTGATCCGGACCGACACTGCATGCCCATCCTGGCTCACAACCAGAAGCCCAAGATGTCAAATTACAATTGTTGTTAAGTTTCAGTTTGAGGAAGGAAGCTGTTGAAGCAGTTGGGGGAGCCTGAAGGATGATACTGTCAAAGTAAAACTTGATTTCTGCTGCTGTACACAGGCGCTGTCCTGTTAATGGAAGATTTTCTTGAGCTAATAATTAAAATAGATATTGAAAGATTTTCCTTTTTTTTGTTCTTTTCACTTACGGATTGCTCATACCATTCATCTTCTGTAGGCAAGAAGACAAGAAATCCAGATTAGATGAGAAGTTAAACGCTCTGTTCCAATCAACATCCCTGAATAACACAAAACCATCCAAGTTTCACAGACTGAATGACGACCTAAGGAAATGGAAAAGAGATCCTACCTCGAGATTTCTTAATGGAACTTCATATTACATCCGAGAATCTAGGAATGTGTAAAGTGCAAATCGGGATTCCACTTCCCTCAATGTAACAACCCAAGCTAACCGCTAATAGATAATGTTCTCTTTGGCTTACTCTCGAGGTTTTAAAATGCATCTGTCAGTGAGAGGTTTTCACACCTTTATAAGGAATGTTTTGTTCCACTCTCCAACCGAGGTGGAATTTCACACTCCACCCCCTTAAGAGCCCAACGTCCTTGTTGGCACACCACCTAGTGTCTGGCTCTTATACCATTTGTAACAACCCAAGCCCATCGCCGGTAGATATTGTCCTCTTTGGGCTTTCCCTCAAGGTTTTTAAAATGTGCGTCTACTAGGGAGAAGTTTTCACACTCTTATAAAGAATGTCAGTGATGATGTTGAGCCTTGAAGGGAGTGGACACGAGGCGGTGTGCCAACAAGGACGCTGGGCCCCAAAGGGTGGTGGATTGGGAGGTCCCATCTCGATGGGAAAAGGGAACAAAACATTTTTTATAAGGTGTAGAAACTTCTGCCTAACATATGCATTTTAAAAACCTTGAGGAAAAGCCCGAATGAGGACAATATCTATTAGCGGTGGGCTTGAGCCGTTACACTCAAATTCCCAATAACCAAACAGAGCACAGAATTAAAAGTACAGGGGGTAAAACTCACGTGTCTCTGGAGCAAAAACGGAAGTGGCTACTGAGTTCGGCGTTGATGATTGAGCTCAAATTGGAGAGCTGAGCGTTGGCCATGGACAAGATAAATGGCAGTGCTGCAGGGCTGGCAAGCTGATTCTGGCCAAGAACAAACTGTTCCCAGCTCAATCCGACAAGAAGTACAGCCATGAAAGTGAAAGAAATTCTGGTGTTCTTCATGTTCTTCATAGCTTCAAACTTCGAGATATCAACTAACTAAAGGAGAAAGGAGAAATGGGTTTTATAGTTTGGAGTTAAAAAGGCTCAAGAACCATACGTTCCATAGCCGCCAGAGATCAAAGGAGGAAATCTTGGTGGGTTTTTCTTGAGTGTTGAGGCAAACCATTTGGTTGGCCCCTCGACGACTTGTCTTTAAGGGTCATTTTAGACGCCAATTTGAGGGACTTGGTTGCCTTCTTCTTTGGCATGTTCTAAAGGAACTTTGAATTGTGGATACAAAACTATGGCTGCTACTACTTCATATCATTGCTACGCAGCTTCCTGATTTGAATCAGGTTAATTTAGCTGAGATTGATGGATATGAAAAGTAAAATGGGATGATTTTCTTTCACGCGAGATAGGAGTTTGAATCTTCTACAAGAATGGAGATTCGTCTTATACACAGTACGTAACTTAACATCTTCATTTATTCTACTGTTAAAAGTTGTCAATTCGAATTGAAATATTTTGTTTTCAATAGGATGTGAATGCAATTCAACTAATTTTGATATGTATTCCAAGTTAAGAGGTAAGAGGTTCAAATCTTTTAATGAAACATTTTTTTAGTTTTTAAAATAATTTTTAATGATATGAAAATCGTATTTAAAAGTGTAAAGTTAAATGTTAAATTAATTTTAAATTATTAACTACATGATTTTTACTACAACATTAATTTATTTTCACACAATATTTTGCTCGTTAATTTAGATTAAATAATACCTATATTTTAGTTTTAACGATTAACCTATGTTCTATTTTAAAACAACCTCTTGCTTCCATTTATGATTGAGTAAATTGATTTTAGGTTAAAATATTGATTTTGTAGAAATGTGAACCAGAAAAGGACTGGAGAAGACAGCTTGCAAGAGTAGAATTGTATTAAGTAATTAATAATATGGGCCATTGCCATAAATGACTCATTCTCATGCTTCCATGAATTCATTATTCCATTTGGTAGACTTTTTTCTTTGTACAATTTTTTTAAAAGAAAAAATGTCAACTCTTTCTTCTTTTCATATCCAAATCCCCCATTTCCTCAAACATTCTAGTCCGGTGTTTACTGTTCCCATCCCTCTAATTTTTATATTCTTAAGGGGGTTCTTTGAAATGGGTATCAATTTTAGCTGCCTTGTATATTGACTTTCCCTACATCATGGGGAGCTCGTCGTGTTCTTCAATCGAGCTCAATACCCATTTCTGAATCCTGCTACCCTCTTCTTTACCTCCTCACTATTCATTTTTCTGCTGGTTTGCAAGTTTGGACATACATGAAAGGTCCTTCTCTCTCTCTCTCTCTCTCTCTCCCCCTAATCTTCATAGTTTTCTGTGAAAAACAACGAGGATTTCTTGATTTTCTCAAAACTTCTCAAAGGTTCCAAGAACTTTCAGATTTTCCTTGATCTTGGTAAGAGGGAGATGGAAAATCAATCTGGGTTTTTGAATTCAAAAGCTAGAAAGATAGGAATTGTGAATGAATGTAAAGAATTCGACACTTTTTTGGGGTTTCTTCAACAACTTTTTGGGATTTTCTGGCTTTGTCCTCTTGAATCAAGAACAGTTGGAGATGGCTAATGCATTATATAGATAGAATATATACCTGATCACCTAGAGTTTTCTTCTTAACGTTGTGTAGTTTTGTTTTTGTGCAGAGAGGGAGTCAGGTTTTGGAGGAGATTATGAAGTGTTTTCATTTGTTCAGCAATGAGAGGAGAACTGTTGAGCCTAGAACAGCTACAAAATCTAATTCGATTATCTCGTGTACCTCGAATTCTACGTCAATGAATCAAGATCTTAAGATGTTTGACTCTGATTTGAATTCTCAGAATGTTTCAGAGTTTAGTGTAGCATCTTCTGCTAAATCATTTGCAGCTTTGTCTCAAAGACAGAGTAATCTTAGGGACTTTACATTCTCAGATTTGAAAGCAGCCACGAAGAACTTCAGCCGATCGCTTATGATCGGAGAAGGCGGATTTGGTAGTGTATATAGGGGCGCTATCCGAAACTCAGAGGATCCACATAAAAGAATAGACATTGCTGTTAAGCAATTAAGTAGAAGAGGATTACAGGCAAGCTCTCTCTCTCTCTCTTTGATATGAACTTATTTCCATCATCTTGGATAATCTGAGAATTCTTCATATGTGCATTTGAATGGAGATATCTTTGTAACTTGGAGAAAGAAAGAGCCATGTTGAAGAAGAGAAATGGAAATATAAAACATTCTTCCATTTGTCCAAAGCCAAAAGAAATTACAGAAAAGCTCATCTGTGAGATCTCACATCGGTTGGAGAGGGGAACAAAGCGTTTTTTGTAACGGTGTTCCGAGAGGGGAACGGAAGCGTTTCTTGTAAGGGTGTGGAAACCTCATCCTAATAGACGTGTTTTAAAACCGTGAGGCTGATAAGTGATTTGGTTGTTGTTTTTCCCTTATATTTCCATCGATCTGTGCGAATGTCGATACTTTTGGTTCTTACAGTTTTTCGTCTACTCCGTATCAAATTCCTTTGAATATGAACTGCTTAGAGATAGAAAGAACAAGTGTACCAACCAATTACATCCATCTTAGCTGCATTTCCAATTATTCCTATCAAATGAGTTGAAAATGCTTTTGTTGGATAAGTTCATAGGACAGTATGTATGAGAACTAATGGTTGTATTCTAAATTAGCTCCCCCTCCAAAAATCAAAAAATGATTACTATTGCACTTCAGAAGTTCCTTAGTTTTACGATTTCGGTTTCTGGCCTTTCCTATAGGGTCACAAGGAATGGGTAACAGAGGTGAACTTTTTGGGCGTTGTCGAGCATCCAAATCTTGTCAAGTTACTAGGCTACTGTGCAGAAGACGATGAAAGAGGGATCCAGCGATTACTCGTATACGAATATATGCCTAACAGGAGTGTGCAAGATCACTTGTCAAGCAAGTTAAACAGTTCTCTTCCATGGGCAATTAGAATGAAAATAGCTCAGGATACTGCTCGTGGCTTGGCATATCTACATGAAGGAATGGATTTCCAGGTACCTTATCTTTGAGCAAAAACTGATGAACTTAACTATCGCTCTAGCGTTGATTAATGATGAACCTTCTCGTTTAAACGTCCGTGAAAATCTATATTGTATAGAAGAAGAACGTATGAAATTCTATTTGGATGAGATGAGAGAAGAACTAGTTGGATTCACACATTCTAGGAAGTACATCTATGGTGGCCTAAATGATATCATTCTTTGTGCAGATAATATTTAGGGATTTCAAATCTTCAAACATACTTTTGGATGAACAATGGAATGCTAAGTTGTCTGATTTTGGATTGGCTAGGCTAGGGCCTTCGGACGGATTAAGTCATGTCTCTACTGCGGTTCGTATGCAACTAATCTAAAATCTGTTTGTTTGAATCAGTTTTGGGAAAGCCAAAAAGATAACACATATTTTTCTATCTATTCTGCATCAGTAATCGACAATCCTTGTGCAGATTGTAGGAACAATTGGATATGCAGCACCTGAATACCTTCAAACAGGACGACTAACAGCAAAAATTGATGTATGGAGCTATGGAGTTTTCCTGTATGAACTGATAACTGGTAGGCGTCCCCTAGATCGGAACCGCCCCAAAGGCCAGCAAAAGCTCTTGGAATGGGTGAGACCACACCTATCTGACTTAAAGAAGTTTGAGCTGATACTTGACCCAAGACTAGGAGGTAACTATTCTATTAAAGCTGCCCAAAAACTAGCAGCTGTAGCTAACCGCTGTTTGGTTCGGAAGGCTGTGGTACGCCCTAAAATGAGCGAGGTCTTGGAGATGGTAAATCGGATTGTGGAAGCAAGCGATCTTGAGAGCCCTCTGCTTCAAGAAAAGAGCTCAACTTCTAACAGTGATTCTGAAGGATCAAAAGGTGAACATTTGAGAAAACGGATTATGAATCCATTTATTGGAGGGAATGGTTGTTTGATTTGCCTAGCTTGGAGACCCAAAGTTGTGAGAACTTGTTGAACAACGTTGAATGGAATGACACAGAGGTTTTCTCATTCTTTTTTGGAATGGAGATTTACTTGTGTAAAGAATCATGGCTTCTTAAACTGCTGGATCAAGTACAGTAGTTGTTTGAGGAAGAATAAGTCAATTGGTTGGCGGTAATTTGGATGAAAAATTTCAGCTATTGTTGAGGGTGTTCAAAACTGTGCTGAGTGCAAGTTTAATATCCTGAAAACCATTTAAGAAATTTTAAAAAGCTTCAAATAGGTCGAATTTGACCTATTAGACAAAACAATTCGACCTATTAGACAAAATTACAAAAGTATGGAGCCTATTGATAGTTCGAAAACTTCTACACTTTCTAAAGTTCATGAATAAAAAAGACATAAACCTGATAGTTTAGAGATTAAACTTGTAACTAAACCTAGTTTTTTTCTTTTTCACCTTCCCCATCCTTTTAGTAAGGCTATAAATCAGTTCTTAAAATCTTAATCCAGCGCAAGCGCTTACAAACTTGTTCCAAACAGGTTCTAACTGTAATCCAACATCTTGATGGATATTGAAGGTTTTATTTCAAATTGTGGAAAAGACAAAGAAAGCTGCAGCCGTAATGTGCGGCCATTGTACTCGAGAAATCAGGAAAACCAAGGGCTATCTCTAGTAATATAATTTCATTACTGTAACAAAATGGATTTGGTTGATCTCTAAATTTCTAATGAACATGGAATAATTTTTTAAAATAAACAAAGATACTGACAACACAAGGGGAAAAACAGGCATCAATGAACAAGACACCAACGTTTAATGGGGGGAACATAATATCTAGAGTTCCTCTATAATTCAATATACAATCTAAAAAGGAAAACAAAATCTACCAGAATCTATGCTGCATAACCAGTGACTCTTGGTGTTTGGGAAGGCAAAAACTTCAGGCGCTTAATTTCTCAATGATTTTCTTGAGAGATGAATATGATCCAAATGCAGATGCAATAACTCCTACTGCTATAACTATGCAACAAAGTGTTATCTGTAAAGGGAAAAAAGAAAAGAAAAGAGAGGAGGATAAGAAGATCGTGCGGTAAAATGATGTTATGCAATCGACTATTCTAATTCGTTTAAGTTAGCGAATAAAAGAAAATGCAATGAAGAGGATGTTTTCACCTGTAAAAACGTTACTTTCCCCCTCAAAATGCTGAGGTAACAGGCACAAGGGAGTATTAAAGTCTGCAAGACACATTTGATAGTTCAGCCGTTAATAAATGAGTTATATAGTACCAGCAGGGATCCACAGTGCAAGGACGAGTAAGCTTACCACAAGCATTGTTAGCAAGGATCCGATCAATGACATCATAAGACCTGCGTTGGAAAAGTGAAGATCCAAAAATTGGCACTCATTTTTCCAAGGCCAGAAGGAGCTTAAAGAAAACATGGCATTTTCTTCACCATAAATTGGTACAGAAATAGACATGTGAAGATATACTTACCAAAAAAGGGGATAGAAAGACCGACCAGTAGGGTAGAAATTACAAGAGCAGTTCTAATTAGGATGGAATAAATGTGAGTCTTGGGATGGTTTGGTGGTATGAACTCCTCCAGACTCATTGCAACGGGAGATATCGTTAACGCATACGTGGGACTAGTTAAGGAGAAACATCATTCTTCCGGTTCAAATACACTTACAGAAATTACGGTAGAACAAAAACAGAAAAAATGAAACGAGGAGCATATTATTAGTTTCTGATTGCTATGAGTAATTATGTATGTTACTCTCTGCATATTACTAAATATGAGGCCCAAAACCCTACTGCAGTGATAAACAAGTGGAATCAAAGAATATGGAAGTGAAGTTCACTTAAAGAGCTAGGCTACAATCCCAATCAATACTTGTAACAAGTATATATCAGAGTCTGAAAGGATATTTTGTGAAGGGGTTTACTACCTGCCAAAGAACAAGTAAGAAACATGAGAAAATAGTTTTCAGGCAGTGAGTAGAAATTGAGTACAAGAGTAACAGCATAAACAACTCCAGAACACTAAAATTAGACTATGCAAGGGAAACTGGGGACTGAAACATTTTCGATTCCTTTAGTAACAGCATAAACAACTCCGAAATCGTAAACATTTTACCATAAGATACCTTCACTGACTTTACGACCAAATCATATCAATCCAACATTTAATATATCTAATACTTTCAAATCATAAAACAATTTTCTTTAACAAACAAACAGTACAAGCACGTGGCGAGCTTGCCAATTCTAACAGATATGTTCTAAATACAAGAGTTTAAAAATAGGGGTGCAATAGGGTCCTTATGGCACCATTGGATATTAAGAACTAAGACAACCAATTTTATTTGTTTAACTTCACAGCACAACAAATAAACAAGCAGTTCAGTGGGAGAATAAATAGAGGCGATGAAACATATATGGTTATTTTGATAGAGATGAGAAAATAAGCATCAAGAATGGATTGGTTGAGGAAAAATTGACCACCGTACCGTAGTCCACACAGCAATCTTTGAGGCAACCAAATCCTGGGGCAGGTTAAGAGTGTACTGGGATAATGTCGATTCTCCAAACATTAAGTATCCAATAATAGCAACTCCAGCATACATCAAAGTGCAAATACCAAAACTGCATTTTCAAGGAAAGTAAATGTTGTAAACATCTTAGGTGATTAATTTTCTTTATATAGTTGGCGAGATCTTATCGACCCTCCATTCAGAAGGGTGACAAACAGACATATCAAGCAACACGAAGATTTCTTAAATGACATAGTCGATCCCCCCTTTTCTTTATGTTATAACTAAATGAATTTGAGTGTCGATAATTTTGATTGAAGCCGACTTTGTCAACGAAGAAAATAATAAAAATAAAAACAAACATAAGGCTTACAAAGTTAATACTTCACAGGCCCATATGAATGATGCATATTTAAATCAAATCAATCGCGACACACAGAAGCACACAGTAGGAGATGGACAAGACAAATTGTGTGTGAAAAAGGATGAAGCTTTCAAATTACCATGTCAAAAGGACTGCTGGAAATTGGCTTTGTTTACCCATTGAGCTATAGATGTTGGGAAATACAGCATGTCCTGAGTAGCAGAAACCGTACAGACCCAGAGCAACTGGGAGGGTTGAGAGCTTCAGTGGAGTCACTGTGCCATGGAAACCGACATCATCTACCAACCCAACCCAAAACAAGCATATAACCACCACGATTGATGCAATGACTCCACCAGCTGTAAGGAAGAATAGAAAAAAAAAAAAATCATTAATAGCGATTTTTTGAAAGTCTCGGTTTAAATCAGGGGCATTTCAATAAGAACAAGAAAAATCATGACAGCAAGATTTGTATGAGCTTGAGCATTCTAATAGGTGAAGAATACATGTTATTCACTTGATGGTTTAATAGACATGTGTTAGACACTAATGGTACAAAGTAAAAAACAAGTTACTTGTTAGGCGCCATTCACACTTATTAAACATAATAAATAGACATAATATAAGATTAAATGACGCAGCATCGTGTTGGTGTTGCGTCATATATACGTTTCATTGTGAATCTTCAAAGCAGAATATTTTGGCTAAGAACTTGGTGCTACATGATGCGCGGAAATACCAATTCATGGAGAGTAGGTGTCAACTAAAAACAAAAGCAAAGAAGCCAATACAAGACTAACCAATAAAACTCATAAAAACATACATGTACTCTGACATGATAAATTTAAGCTAGCTTACCAGAGATGTAACTTAGAATACTGAGATCCCGAAGCCAAACGGTTGGAAGAACAGCCAGGGCAGTCGCTATAGCGAATAAAAGGTGTGCACTTAATTCAAATCCACCAAAACTTATGTGCGCACGGGGAAACAATGTAGACAAATTGTCGCTCTCCAGAATTACGTACTCGATACAAGAAGCCTGCAAGACTAGCATATCTAGTTGGGTCACTTCGTTAACATAAGACCTAATTTGTTGTTTCAAAATCATTACGAAAATGAAAGCATGTTGCATTAGCAGACACGAGCACCGTGCAAATATTGACAAGAAGCTAAGAAAAAGCTTTAGCTTTTCAGTTTTCACCAGATGTCTATTGGCCCAGTGGGTAGTCCGTTACATTTATCAGAGCTTACACATGATATCAAAATTTTCGGGTTAAAATTGTGTTCTGGTTTAAATTCACTAATATTGCCAGAGATTCTACCTATTGAGAATGAAAAGAACGAGGGTAAATAGAAAATTCTTTACCCTTATCTGAAAATAGAAAAGCTCTTAAGAATGAGAATAAATAGATTTGTGGAACAGAAATTGCCAAGGCTAAGAGGATGATGATGATTATGGTTCTTGCTTCTCAGCTAAGTTCCATTTTTCAAAAAACGAAAAGAAAAAAAGAAGAGTCGTTTTGCCTATTCAATTAGCCAAAGGTCGAAACTAGCTACACTACAAAATCCGACATGGGTGGTTAGGTTGATATCTTCTCTGGGTCATTTTCTCAAACACTTAATAAGCCTCTGCCGAAGACATCAAGCATCACATGCAAAAAAGAGTTTTGATAATCTCTTTTGTTTTGGTTGTCATATTTAAAATGAAAATCGTCATTCAAAAATCACATTTATTTCCTCTCTGGACACACAAAGAGACCCAAAATCAAAATGTGGTTCCTAAGTCATCAAAGAGCGTGGTGGACAAGAGACTTGCCACTTGTTCTGTAACGTAGGATATCAACTTTAGGTGGGGCCAGCCCCTACGTTAACCATTATCCAACAAAATTATGATAATAATTAAAACCCCAACTTGAAGAAGTAGTACTTACGTATAATTCCACGTACAATACTATCTGCATCCACAAGAAATCAAAACAAAATGTTAAACCAAAGAAAAAAAATCAAATATTGATTCATTTACCCTGAAGTTTTTGTCCCTTTGTTTTCATTTGTTCTTTAATCTCAATTTAAAGATATCACTATACTCACAAAATTTCTTTAAATATAAGCACAATTTTGTAGGCGAAATTGGAATTTAAACTGAATGAAGGGAGAATAAGAAGGCAGCTACCGAGATGGCGACACGGCCGATGGCACCAAAAGCAGCTTGTCCAATGTCAGGGTAAGTTTCAAGCCCAGGTTTGCTATCCAAACAAGCACGTAGGAGGATTCCAGTGTAGAAAGAAAGCACAGCAAATATCAATAAAATGGAAAGCCCCAACCATCCTCCTTGTTGCATAGCATATGGGGTCGAAAGTATTCCCACCCCACACAGCACATTGATACCTACATTGCAAATTTCGATCATTCTCACAACAATTCTATCACACAAAATATTTCCCAATGGAAGAAGTAATTACCATTAACAACAGCTTGGCCAAAAGAACAATGGCGGGAAATGGGAAGGCCATGAGAGTCAACGACGGGCTTGTCTTTGTCATCCCTCCTGACGGATATGGAAGAGCGCCTAGAAGGAAGCTGAGGACCCAAAGGAGAATAAGGGGCATACTTTTGCTGCTCGTCAATTACTGTGGGTAGCAGTGGCTTTGATATGGATGAAGAGAACGCTTCAGGAGTGAATCTCCTCGTTAATGAGGAGGAAAGAAACGAGCTTCCAAATCTGGCCAATGATGGCGTTCCTAGCAGCCCAATACTTGGTGAATGTAAACTCCCCAGCATATCAATAGATTGCCTGCAACATTATTTTTATTTCTAAATTATACACTCCTCTTCTTCCACGTTCTAGTTAAAATCATCTAGTTAGATCATTTCCAACAAAAATCTCGAAAAATATCAAGCATAACTCAGTATTTTTAGCACATCAACAAGTTCTGTGTTTCCGTTTTAAGCACTCATACTGATTTATAGACTACTTTTCTTCACATTTTAGTAAAAATCATCCTGATTGATCTTTCTCACAAAAATTATGTATATAATAAATAAAGAAGAAAGGAATAATTTTTCATATGTTTTTTTTTTTTTTTTTTTTTTTAAA